CCACCCTGGGTGAGACAGTTCTGGCTGAAGCCGACAATGTTTCTAGCGACGACGATGAGAGAGCTCGCCGTCCTGGTGGAATCAAGCTTACTAAGTCCGGCTATTACATTTTCCCAACTGTTGAGGAGTTGTCGGAGCTTGTTGACGAAGACGGCCGTTGTGTGGTTCAAAACTTCATCATTGGCCGACAGGTTAGTTCACTTGGAATTACATTTCTTTGCGAGTTGATTAGCCAGTGTCCTTATCTTTTATTTTATTTTTTAGTCCTACGGACACATATTATTTCCTGGTCTAACGGATATCACGGGAATCGACTTCAATGATGTTGTGCACATCCGACGCCGCGAGGTGGTGGTCTATCCCGACGACTCAACCAAACCACCTGTCGGGTATGGTCTAAATCGCAAGGCAGAAGTCACCTTGGACGGCATTTGGCCAGCAGATAAATCAACGCGAGAGTTTATCAAGTCTCCTCAGCGGCTGGCCGCCATGCATTTTGATGAACGCCTAGAAAAGGCGACTCAGAAAATGAATGCAACGTAAGTTAGAGTTTTGCCCCAGGGTAGTTAAAGACCCACTTTTGTGTCGCTAGTTGAGTCACCATTTAAGGACCAGCAAACGCCCACACAAACAGCAAGCTGTTTCGAGTCAGCTTTTTTATTTTTCAAACCACTTTGGTTGTGTGCGTTATTGATTTCCATCAACTTAACCACCCCGAATAATTCAAACTATTTTGTCATAAGCATAATTGACCGTTTAAAACGTCAAATGAGTAAGGCTAACACAAAACTTCGGAGGGTACACCTACTTTGTGACGGGTATATTCTGAACTTAATGAGAATGTAACGATTATCTTTAGACTTCGTAACAACAGGCTAAACCAAATGGGTAGGCAATTTGCAGCCCAAAGCATTCCGTAATTGTTTCGCAATAATTTCAAGAAGTAATTTGATCCAAATGCACGTAGTGCGCTTATTTTCCGTGCATAATTTCGTATTAGTAACCAGCCTTCTCTTTGTTTTTTTTTCCACATTCGTTTTAGAGTTGTCATCAATGCTAACTCTTTGACGTTATCCCTTTTGTCACAAAGAGCATTATTACTTTTTTCTTGTCGTCTGCGGAGAGTACCTTTGGGCTAACAGAATTTTCGCTTAAACAGGTTTATTGAATATCGTCCGGACACGGGATCTTGGGTGTTTGAAGTAAAACATTTCTCGAAATACCGCCTTGAAGATTCGGACGAAGAATCAAGCGATCAAACCCAAGCCTTTCTGCCAGCGAATGAAAACAACAAGACTAGAGGGCTCTCCCTACCTTTGCAGGTTTGTTTAATGATCGATTTAAGCTCTTTATCTTCATATTCAACACTTCCTTCGCAAATGGCAAAAACTGACATCATTAATCTGTCTAGTTCCAGAGTTCCCGGCTCTCGAATTAACTACATTGCGTACTGATGAAAACAGTGATTAACAATGTTGGATGTGCGTTCACCTGTCGGCCTACGGGACATACTCAGTGCTCTCATGTTGCCTCCAATACTTAACATTTTACAACGGCCTCTTGTTAGCTGCTGTAGTGTCCTATACTTTTCTTCGGAGTATTTAATTTAGACCATTGTAAAGTCTTGAACATGCATACGGTCTTGACCAAGCCGTGTCACCAACCTTCCTAGAATAGCGAGTTCGGGTATCGTTCTCAATCAACCCGGTCTTGCACGGGGAAGGTAAGGATGGGTCACCAGCTCAGCGCACATCCATGCGTATCAACTCATTTACTTGCTCCTGTAGTTATATTGGTTACAAGAGTCGCCGCATATCTATAAGAATAAGAAAAAATCTCCCGGCATGGCTGAGAAAAAGTGAAGTCAGGAACATAAACAGCGCAGTTCTCGCGCACATTGTTGGTTCCGGACATCATATGGATTCCAACGAAGTCTTTCAGATGATTTCAAATGTCCCATCAAGCTACCTAAAGTCCCTGGTCAGCGTCTGCTAACAGTAGCTGAAGCAACCGCTATCAGGTTGCGGAAGCTGATCTTGTGTACACAAAATAACCTTCAAGCTCTGCGCTTGGCTTGGCTAACAGTAACTTAGCTGCATGCACTCTCTTCGCTCCCCCTGGATCGGCTATAGCAAACCCACTGTCTCGCAACCAACAGTCTCTTACGGAGTTCCAACTCTCTCTCCCCCTATCCCCATAGTTCATTTGCGTGAAATGAACATAAATGACTTCATGTTTACCTTTGACACAGTTCCCATATAAATGCAATGGCTCGATGAGAATTGATCGAAAGCTTAATTATGCTCGCACACTATTTTTAAGTTGTTTAGTAATCCAATTATGTCAACACCGCCAATCCTTGAAATGTGCGCCAAGTGACATTTCATTTAGTTGTCTTTTCGTTCTAGCTGGATTGGTTTGCGTCTACTGTTATCCTATTGACTCGGACGATTTTAATTTTTATTTTAGCACAATGGTATTGCTGGTTCGACCACCCCAAGAACCTACGTATCATCATTTGACAACTTGGAATCGTCTTCGTGTACGGACACTTCACTATGGACAAGTCAAGCAAATCCTTCTGAATTTTGTAAAGCCAAGGACTCACTCCTTTTACGGAAGTATGGAAGCCTAGGTGAAGATATTTTGGGGGTGCAAGATTACGATGAAGTGCTGTTTACAGCGGCTTCAGGTGGTCATTTTATGCAGAATCTCTCCGAAGACTTGCCCGATATGAAGAAGTCATCGCAGTTTTCTACCCTCCATTCCGATACTCTCCGTAAGATTTTATGTTTTTATTGTTTTGTATCCAAAAGCGGCCCAGACCACTTATATTAGTTAACCAACGGAAACTAGCGTTGCAATAAATTCGAGGACGTTGGTGCGTTTGTGTTCTATGCTTACCCCTTGATTAATTGAATCCGTCGCATTTGCTGCTATCGTGTCTTCAAAGTTCCATATATTACGTTTTAGGAGTTTTTACGTAGAATCCTTATAGAACGCGACCAAGATAGTAGACGAGTTCCATTATAACATTACTGGAACCGGTTGTTTTAACGTAGAAGTCTTCTCTGCTTCTAAAGCACATTGTTTGAAGCCAACTGTTGTGGCATAGATCTGTGCTGGTAGATCTTTCGAGCGAACGCCCTGTTGGTCCAAAATAGGTAGTTTTTTTGAAGTGCGGCTTACAGTAGGATCTCGAATTCGTGAAACATTAGCCGAAATAATTTAACTATCCTTTATTTGGGAAACAGTAATCAAATCGTAATGAAGCACCAGCACATATCGCACCAACTCTCCTTTTTCAATTTAGGTATGGGGTCTGGGTTACACACAAAAGGTTCTCCTAACTATCGCATTTGTCATTATTTTCACAGAATTGATCGACAATAGTCCTCCCCCTAATATACTCGCGCAGAATGTTGAATGTGAAAAAATGCTATTTGAAAGCTCTAAAGAATACGACCTCAAAAAAGGACCTACTCTAATAGCAAGAACTGCGTGATTCAGTTAACAATGCTTGACAGTCTGAGTCAAGGGGAACTGTTATGCGAAATTCTGATAATTTCCTTTTTGAACAGAATATAGCACACTTTTAAAGCTAAAATGCCCAATACTCCTGTTTGATTAGAATGTTATTTTTCCTTTTCACGAGGACAAGTTCAAAGCAGTTGGCCTTCGCGCACTCTATTTGGGAAGGCGACATGTTGAGTGGGAAATAACCCGAGCTTCATATTCAGAAGGTTACCATGGAAAGTTAGTTCTGAGCTATGTGCTTGGGCTGAGCTCCAGTTAATTCGAGAGGCATTGCACATCCTCAATACTCAGGATATTTGACCATGTATCAAGCTTTTCTAGCCCAATATTTTACTGTCGTGTCTTATCGTGATCGCACCTTCACATCACACATAGGATTGATGGGTCATCTACGAATCAATAGCTTAGAAACTGGTGGACCAGCACTTGGAGCCTCAACATTAACCTGCCTTAACTGCGCACACTGTCCATGCACCCTTAATCACTGCATGAGCCTACTTCGTCATATGCGCATCCACGACAGCGGAATTCACCGCAGTATGACATGCTAAGCCCACCTAACACCCGAAAAATATCCCATCTCCAGCCCTCCAACGGCATTGCAATCACAAACATCGCTGCGAACACAACAACTACCAACCTATCTAACCATATGGTCCCCGCACATGCACGTCACTAATTTGTCTGGTTGATCACTCACGAATCCATAGCACCGTGATTGGCGAACCTCTCCCAGGAACACTAACAGACATCCGTTGCACTGGCTTCAGCTGATTGAACACTCAGCCACCTATGCCTCCATGCTATTTTGTGACAACTCAGCACACCAAACCGCATCAACACACATCTCACCGACACTAACCCGCGTGAGACCCCAAGGGCCCACCCCCAACAAGCGGAGCCTGGTTTATTTTGTGATGGTCAGGTCGTGTGTAGCACTCGTAAGCGGAAGGTTTTGCTTTTTCAGCCTCGTGCGCCCCGTCCTCACATCAGATGGCGACCGGTTCGGATGGTAAAATTTGGCGTCTAGGAGAGGGGAGAGGGGTTGAGCTGCGTACCCACGGAAGTCAGCAAAAATTCCTCACCAGTTTGGCGCGCTTTTAAATACCACTGCACCAAGAGCCATGGTATTGAAGTTCGCGAACTGGTGAGATAACTCAATCCTTTTTTAGAACAGCTTGTCAGGCTACGACGGATCATGCTCAATGTGTCTCTGTGGTACCTCCACTTAGTTGGGATTCGAGCCACCTCTTGCTTGTTCGTGTGAGATTGTGGTCCATTTTGCTTAGGCCGAACGCGTCGAGCTGTTTTTATTTGTCAGCCACTGTGCCCGCTCGTATTTCCGGTTTCCTTGTCTCTGTCCTCACGCCGGGATCGGTTCCTGAAGGAGGAGAGAATGCAGTAAATGCTGCGCAAGTCCTCCAAAATCCACTAATTTATACCAATAATCGTACACACTATGCGGTGGAGCACGGTGGACACCATAGTTAACGACAGGTAAAATGCCATGAAATGTATGTACTAATCGTGCACAATCGTAATCGACTGCGATGAGACTTAATTAAAAGCCAACGGTAGGCAAATGTGAAAACACATGCTTCGCGCATATCATGTCAATTGTGTCCATTTATTCCTCCTTGAGAAGTCATTCAACTTGGTCAAAATATCATAGTCAGGTGTTGCACAAGTTTTATTGTTTACTGTATTTTTGCAAGTCTGAAACTGAACTTTTACCTTTTATTTTCTTATGTCCACCTTTTCATATGGCGTTGGCGCAACCTCCTAGAGTACGCAATTGCAGAATTTATTCTATATCGTATGTTGTAGACCTTTGTTAACCAAAGTTTTTCGTATCTCCTTCCCCAGACATCTCATACATGGACAATCTTCCCATCACGAAGAAATCACCTGACTCCTACACGAAGAGCTGTGTACTGCAAAGTATTACCACTATCACGCCCTTTCGTATCAGCTTTCGGGTCCCGGCATCCAGGGTAGAGTCTCTTCATGGGATACATAATCCCATGGCCAACTTAGCGCGTTCACGTGCAAGGAAGGACAGATTGATAGCCGTGGAGGACGACGACTTTGCCCTGTCAAGGTTTTCGGTGCCATACAAGGAAATCACGGCTCTGTTGGGCGGTTAGTTTTCTCTTCGCAGCTTTTATTGTGAATCTAT